TTTACTTTTTACTGTTTAAGAAATCACTAAAATCCAAGAACGACATTAATAAATCAACTTAAATTATTATACTGTCTATGATTTGGTTTTGAAACATGCATCTATATAACTTTTCTTGCATGTTTAAATTTAACTCATTTCTATTAGGCTAGATGTTTGATGCACAGCTGTAGTTATGTTATGGACAAAAAACTCAAAGTTACCATCATACTGCAGTTTCAAACCTTGTCGGAACACCACTTCAGTGCTGTAACTGCTTCGTATTTACGACCAAGTCTACTTGTAATCTCACTACGTACCTCAAACTATATAAACCGGACTCTCTCTGCTGAATATTAGTCTTGTGTCCAAACATGTTAACGTTGGGTGAGCTATAACTATAGATTGTGTCAATTAAGATTATAAGGTGGGAGGGAACCAGAAAACGTACCCAACAACTTGTCCCTACTCTGAAATAATAACTATTTTTAGGGATCTGCTTTTGGTTACAATCAGTATAATAGGGTCTACTTTAAGTTAACAGCAGTTTTTTTATCTACTTTTACTCACCAGCGGTTTTTAGGGATCTCCTTTCAATCATCAGCTGTCATTTGGGGTCTACTTTCAGTCATAAACAGTTATTTAGGGTCTACTTTTAGTCATAAGCAGTTATTTGGGGTCTACTTTTAGTCATAAGCAGTTATTTGGGGTCTACTTTTAGTCATAAGCAGTTATTTGGGGTCTACTTTTAGTCATAAGCAGTTATTTGGGGTCTACTTTTAGTCATAAGCAGTTATTTGGGTCTACTTTTAGTCATAGCCTAAGCAGTTATTTAAATCTAATGTTAGTCACCAGCAGTTTTTAGGACTCTAATATTTGTCACTATATGCTTTTAAGGAATCTAGTTTTAGCCACAAGCAGTTTACTAAGATATACTTTTAGAGATCAGCAGTGTTTTGCGAACTATTGTTAGTCATTCAGTTTCTTAGTGATCTGCTTTTGGTCATAAGCAGTTTACTAGGGATCCACTTTTAGTCGCTATCATTTTTTTCAGTGATCTACTTTTAATCCCCATAGTTAAGAATCTATTTTTAGCCAATATCAGTTTTAGGTATCAGCTTTTAGTCGCCAAGATTTTTAGGGGTCTGCTATGTCAACAGAATATTGTTAGAGGGCCACTTTTGACCATGAACATTTGTTTATGGATCTCCTTTAAGTCACCAGCAATTCATTAGGCATTCACTTTTAGCCACCAGCAGTTTTGGTCGATTCTCACCAATCCACTGCTCAGTGTAGTCATTAACAAAATGCAGCAGATGACGTCATCAGTCGTGATCATTATCGAGATACCGATGCTTTATTCGTAACCACTGCAGTGTAAAGACTCTCCCAAGTAGAACTATCGCCTAAGTGGAATGTAGTGATGAAAATAAACTAAATATACTCCCACTACAATATTCACTCAACTTACTAATTAAAGTAGACAAAATTAACGAAGACTGTACTGACTTACTTAGACTGCACAAAATTAACGAAGTAGATGAATAATTTGCATAATCCGTTTTAAATTAAGCTAGACAGAATAATTACTACGTCAAAAGTTTTTAATGAATCATTTGTTGAAGTAATTTAAAGCTTTCAGTGTTCTTATTTTTATTCTTTTAAAGAATCACTTCTTACCGCCCTATTTATTAACACAGTAAACTCTTCCTTATTGTTGGTGAGAACAAACGTTATGTGTTAAAACTTTTACAAACTTATAATTTTTGTCTTAAAATACTGTTTACTTCTCCATATTCATTCTCTTTTGTGTATTTTTCATCCTACAACATCTAGTTCTTTCTGTGTTTGATACTATATTCTATATAATAGGAAGGTATAGAAGGAAAAATATTTTTAAAAAGCTTGCAATCACAAAAATACATTACTAGAAAGAAATACACAAATATATCAAGGGAAGTGAAAGTTTTAAAAGTTTAAAACTATCTTGTAAGTAAGAAAAATGATTACAACTCTTATTTTTAATGAGTCTAGTGAGTCGGTGGCTCAGTCGGTATCGTCGCGGACTTCGGGCCCAAGGTAGCGATGTCGTGGGTTCGGATCCTGGTCACTGCCGATAACATTTTATCAGTACAGTTCACCTTTGTACTGTACTGGCTCACTCCTTGCTTTGCTGTAAACGATCCACGCATGGGGTCTATGTGGACGGGCAAATGCAAGGTTAAAAGAGGTCGCCAACCTCTTTAAAAAAAATAACAAAAAAATGGTAAATAATAATTTTGATCCCGCTGATCAGTCCAAAAATTATCTTTTCGATTCTAAAAAAGTCCGTAGAGTTTTAAACGTTAGAAACTGGTCGTTGATATTTTTAAAGCAGCACTTGCTAAATAAGAATCTCATTTTCATAAATCCACCGTCATCTAACTCCATCCTATAGGGTTTTGCGAATGCTTGCGTGGCTCTGTTTTGCGATTTTGAAATTAATAATAATGATGATAACTGTAATGAATAGAAATTTAAAAACTGAAAAGCCATGCTTGTATAATGATGTTACTTATACTTCTAACAAAACTCATCACATAATACCTTATACACAGTCTAACCTAGTAATTTGCCCATGAAACACTGTGTTATTACTTGTCAGCCTTAGAATACTTTCATAAGTTCGAAAACGCTCTTGTACAAACCATGTGGACTTACGTCAACACAATCCATAATAGATGGTCAGAGTCCCTCCCGAGTCCCTAGGGAATCTCTCCCTTTTCCATTACGGTGTTTATCCTACATAATAAATGATCGTGGTAATTGAGAATCGGCCTTAAGCTTTCTTTCAGGTTGTGAGTACTAGAGGGCCTGATTTGGTATTTATTACTGTAAGTAGTGTCATTTTCAATCTCAATGTTCTTCAGATCAATGATTTTGAGATCCAGGCACTACTCCGAAACCTATTTTCGGAACAGTGACTGGTCGTGCAAATTCTTTCGGAGCAGTGACTCACCATAATTTCGGAGTTATGCCACATTTTTTTCTGTGTCTTAACGGAGGTTTGTCTTAAGGACTATAAGAATACTTTTTAGCAGCGTGTGTGATGATAATTTTACAGTACCAATTACAAGTTAAGATGTAAAATAAAGGAGTGAGGTAGTATACTGCTAGATCGCGAGAGAATTAACTATCAAAAGTTACTGCACGGAAATATGTTTTATTGTTAAAACTAGGGAGGTTTTAACAAGATTTCTTGTAAAGATTAATTAATTGTATCTTGGTCTTTGTATCCTACCACAAACTAAAGTACTCGTAGCTCCAGTATACATATTTGCATTTTTATTGTTTACGTTTGTGTTTAACAAAAGTTTAAACCAAGTGTTCAAAATGATTGCGTTTACAAATTCAATTATTGAACAGATGGAAAACATTGTTTAGTACATAGCAATGTTTAATTTGAAAGATTGCTTGCTAGCATGGCCTATGGTTAAGCTAGATATATCTAGTTTTGTTGGATGGAATGTTTAAATTACCTGAATGGTAAGTTTGTTTTGAATGGAGCTCTAACTACTTTGTTTGTTTATTTCTCCTTATAAAAATTAAAGATACTTCAGCCTAAAAGTCGTATAAAGTAAATATATTATTATAGAAATTTATTGCAAGCAATTCATGTATAACTTTGATTTATCAATTACTGTACTACAATGTTGTAGAAATCATCATTCTGTCAAGAACGCCAAGCTGCCAAGCTCACTTAGAGATAACGCTATAAATAAGGTTCAGCCTTATCCCAGGGCGGGGACTACGGTGCTGTATTGAAAATGCATCAGTGAAGTCAAACAAAAACATTTTTTTACCGGTTCTGCATTTTGTGCCGTAATATTGTGCGTTAAAAAAACATCATGCAACATGAAAAGATACGGATTTTTAAAAGTGTTAGTGGTTTTTTTTGGCTACAATTATTTTTATACTGTTGTACTTGTCATCAATAAGTACGATAAATTAAACTAAAACTAAAGCTTTTGAACAAAAATGCAATTGAAAAACATTTTGAACAAGTTCGAGTCAACCATGGATGGTTTGGTTAAGAGTTGAGGAAGGTTCTGCCTTTAAAAACGTTTTTTTACAATTTGGCATTTGAAATAATTTCTTAAAAATAATTTATTTACTATTAAAACAGGGTAAAATCAAACAAGTTATTATAAATAATATATTCCCTATTTATACAAATTTTTACTTCACTATTCCTGCTACAAAAAAATTTTTAATCTTAGTTTATTGTCTCCCATGATGATTATTTCGATTGGGGAAAATGTATTACTGTAGATTGCTTGTTCGTTGATGTATCCTTCTAAGCGTAAACCTAACTATTGTTTTAGCAGGTTTGAAAAATGTGATGGACCTATTATTTATATTTTTCTTTGAGCTATAATCGTTGGGTCCTGAAGTGAATTTTTATAGAGCTTGTGTCGAAGTGTAATCTTCCTGAGCTATAATTTGTTTGGTTTAAACACTGAATAGCGTAAACCTAATAGAAATTTGTAAGCATTTTTTTCCTCAGGTATGTATTTCGCATCTTACATTTACTTAAAGATCTTTAAACTTCTGCTCAAACTCATATATATTCCTTTCGCGTAGCCTACTGTTTGTACCTAGCCAATCATAAATTATGATAGTATTGATGAATGTTAACAATTCATTGCTGTTACGATATCAAATGAACAAACCAAGTTAAACAAACAGTTCTAATTATAAGTCAACAGACGAATGCTGTCAGCGTGAGCTCTTTGTTTTGCAATTTAAAGAGATGAGTTTTATTTTACTGTCTCCATAGAATACTAATATTTGTATTCACTATTTATATCTTCGTGTTTTAGAATAACTAACACGTAATGTTATATTAAAATCGGAATTGTTTGGGATTAGTTTTGTCTCCGTTCAATTCACAATTATGTAAAAATCGGTTGTGTAAATCAAATATGGTTGGGACAGATTATGTTTATCGCAGCTTATTTAATCGACTACTTTTGTTTCAGATTTACCCTTCAGAGACAAATATCTTTGAGGATAACTCACCTCTTTACTGATCAGGTAACATAATATATTTAATTACTAACACCAGTATTTTTTATATTATAATTTATAGTGATTTAATTTATACGTAGATTGTTATAAAATGGCGTACGTTAAGTCCACACCAGTACACAAATGTTCACTTCACTGTTTATCCTAATTTCTGTGTCGCCTGAAGGTTTTAATGTTAAAACCATTGTAATGCAATTGTTTAAATACTTTTCATGACGGTTATGTAAAAAACATACATGTTACGTGTGCTACTGCAAACATTGTACAATTATGTTAATGAAACAATAATACAACCTTAGGTAATGGAACACGACATTTATAGAGTTAAATTAAGTGCAATCCGGTGTTAAAATATTGTATATTCATTGTTTGCTCTCATTTTCTTCTCATTTTCAAATTTCCTTACAATTCAAAATTAAATTTTAGGAAATCGAGTTTAAGAGTGCCTATATTGCTTTTTTTTAACCGACCTTTTATACATTTAATATTAAACACGTATCCGTCATAATTTGTCTATAAAATAATCTGTTTAAAAATTGGCCCATCTAATATAAGAAATACTATGGTGTAATAAGCAACTTAGAAGAGTCAAGCTTAATACGAAATAAAAATAATAATAATAAGAATAAATAATAGGAAATAAAAAGGTCTTGATTTGTACTGTAAAAAAAGGATGTTCACTAAACAGCACAGGCTGTCGTATTGGACATATGATATCTCAAATAGAAAACCAACATGTATTTATATGTATAGAGAAGGTAGATGGAATGGGGTATATTAAAACTATATTTATATGTTCTGCTAAAATCATTACTTATTACGTTAACCTAATTGCCAATGAAGTAATGTTAATGTTAAGTGACTTGTGCAAACGATAGGTTACTGTGGTTGTAGGATAATTGAGAAGATCAGCCACTAGCCACTGAGATAGTAATGCATAACTATATAGCTCCATTGATGAGTAATAAAATTATGTGTTCTGTATTAAAAACACAAAATATGCGTAAAACTAATACACATGCTTAATTTTCGTTTGTTGAGTAATACAATACCATAGACAAAAATAATTAAATATAGACCGTCAGCCGTGCTGCGGTTACCATGGTTACCATAGGTTCTGGCGCACACCGCCAGGAGCGCCGCGTAGTTACGTAGAGCGTACGCCGTAACTACATGGCGCTCTCAGCGGTGTGCACCAGAACCTATGGTAACAGGAGCACGACTGACTGTCTATATTTTTGTACCCGGACTATATTACATGAGTTGATTAAATTGTGCACTGCTATTTGACAATGTGTTTAGCAGACGAAGATCAGCTGTTAATAGCTACATAGTTAAAAGTAGCTGTGAAACAAAACTGTTACTGTCAGTATCACAAGGCTACAGTTACAGATTAGATTATCCCTCGTCCTATGTAAATCCCAGCAAGGCTGCAGTAATCTGTATGGCTTCTGTTTACTGGACAAGGCTTCAATATCAAACCTACAGTTTACTTTTGTTTTGAAATAAGTAATTTTAATCATCGTCGATTTTTAAAAAATCTCGTTTATATTAATGCGAATCTGACCAAATAACGACTTATGGAATTATGACTTTCAGTTATTAGTGTAGTAGCCTACTTTTACAGTAGGTTACCATAACGAATAAGGCAAAAAATCCAAGCTTAGCTTTTTACAGTTTTTTTTATTATTATTATTTTTTTATAGGTATATTGAACATAGCACAAAAATATAACACTTTAATTCCTATATATAAAAGGAAAACCGCTATGGTTTACTTGTTTATATATAGGTTGATTAAATTTATTCATTTCATTCTATACTAAAACGTTTGGTTAAACACCTACTTTCCCATAGCAGCAAACCTAAGCACTTGTTAAATCTAATGAAATGGGGAAAATATATTTTTTGTGGAATTATTGTTGTTAAAATCGAAGTATACTATATAAAATTAGCTTGGTATGCAGGTCTGGTGAGGTGGGGATATTTTTTTGTTATGCAGCTTTACCTAGTAAAGTGTGCTACTATGGCTGAGCTGAGAAAATAGAATTTACCTTAATGTCATTTGTGATTGGCGGGAATAGAACCTCGCAATCCTGGAATCATACACTATCTACCCACCTACAATACAATGTACTACAATGTATGATTTTAGATACAATCATTAGCTTTTTAGATGGTACACTAATGTTCTTAGCGGGAAATAGGTTAGGCAAACATTAAAATATGACATCTTTGTGTTTTATATGTTTGTTCTGTAAAGAAATAAAAAGTCGACAACGATGGTGTGGCAAATAACATTGTTTGTGGCGTAAGTAGGAAATATGATCAGTATAAAACCTAGACCAGGGACGATCCCCAGTCGCAAATAACATTCATCTGCTGGCAAAGGTGAGTTCTTGTGACCTCCTTTGAGTTTCTGTACACTAAAAATATATATTTTTACTGTAATGTTTTATAAACTTCGTATGGATAAAACTGGTTTGGATTTGATACATAGTTATTTTATATCAGAATATATTTGGTTATATAATGTAAAACTTGTAATATAGATCGACTACAACTTTAAATATTCTTCCACCTAACATATTGTAATTGCTGACATATTCCGTACAATCGAATTGAGGTAGTACTGTATTGCTATAGTATCTGCATCAGACGAGAACTTTATCTTGCAATAGCTACAGCCTGATTATATGTTAATAACGTGTCATAAAAAGGCAATTTCTTGATGTCCTGTAATTCAATTATTTGTCAAACGTATCTGTGAACAGAATAATACAGGGTTTTCGTGAGCATTCATAAATTAAATTTATTTTACCAGCTATATTTATTGTGCATTAATACATGTCCATACATTTCACGAATCTTGGTGGCAGACTGTTTTTATTTCAGTGGGTGATGGCATAGATTAAAAGAAGTAGACTCCTTTTATCTATGGTAATGGTGAAAAGAGAGAGGGGGATAGTTATATTAAAATAGAGAAAAGGTATACTCATCAGGACTCGTATTAAAAGTAAACACTATTTAACATGGCATCCATTTATTTTAAATGAAAATTTTGGAAAGGAAAGTTTTACAAGGGTGTAAAATAGTGTATTCGTTTAAATAGAAAATTTTACTGAAACCATAATATATTTTACAAATATTAATTTATAAAACTTAAATACGTTGACATTTCGAAGCTTACCTACGTTATATCTCGTTTCGTTATAGTTATTACTCTGAGGTACTACTTATGAAGTGATACCATAAAACTAAACTCAACGATAAATGTATTTCGTACTTGTATCGCATAACAAGTAAATTCAAAAATGTAAAACAGTCGGTTTCTCTGTGGTTTCAAGATTAAATCAACTTATTCATAAATTCATGACGCCTGGCTTCAAAGGCGGATTAACAATTTAATGAATGTAAATCGAAGCATCCTTGTGGTAGAAGCACTTCTGATCATTTCCATCAAACTTAAATGTTTTTTTATGATAAATCTTATCTAAGAACTCAAAAATTGACTTTTATTATATTTTTGTTTGTGTTTCTAAGCCATTATTAGTTTTTTGTACGGGACGGCTAGACTATTGGGGACATTTGTGTCAGGTAATTAATTGTAAAACTAATAAAAAATGGATTCTGGGACTAAAAATACTTTTGAATCGAACCAGCGACCTTCAACCATAAGGCAAGCACTATAACTGTTTGTATAACCTAATATTTGATATATTTTTACGTAATTTGTATATAAGGAAATAATTCCTTTCATTTTGTTTAAATAAGCTTATCAATCGAAATAAAAATGTTTACGATATTTTTTATCTTATAATAAATGAATTTACAGTGCATAATTAATGTAACAAAAACAGTACAATTAACAAGCTAGCTCAGCTAGATGACAGTAACTTCATTAGCATAAACAGATTTTTAAATTATTCAAAACATGACGATTACTCCAACAGAAGTTTGTAATTGAAATCTTGCTTCGAAGTAATTAAAGTTGTTAGTGTTTCAATTTGTAAAATAGCAAAATAGATTAAAACTAGCTTACTTAAATTGTGATTATAGTTCATGGTTTTACGCGTAATCTTAAGTCGAGAGTGATTATGATGTATTATCAATACGAATGTAAAATAACATAGGGTGTGTTATTTTATAAAATTTAATATTTTTAAATGTAAACTTCAAGAACTTTAAGACTGGTTTAATATTTTTAAGTAAAATGTACTCAATTTTATGACTTGTTATTCACTCACCAAACTAACTCATTTAGGAGCTACTTGGCACAGAATGTAAAAATTAACCAACTTTTCCTGAGGTTTAACATGTTGTAACTCCTTAACGAGTATTTTTATTGGAAAACGTCAAGAATAAAAACTTTTAAAATCACATTTTCTAAAATTATTATAAAATATACGGTATTTTATCAGATATAACCGCCATATTTTTGGAAGTAGCAGCTATTTGGAAAAGTGGAATTCATATTTTTCAATAACTTAAAAACAGTTTAAGTTCTCGATTTATGTTTTTCTAAAAATAACAGTTTCTGTGATACTAATGGTCGCGTTCATACTATAAACAAATTTCAATTATATAAACGCATATTGTAATTACTACAAAACTTTAATAGGTGGTGAACTAAAAAAAAAAACACATTTAAACTCAATAAATACACAACAAAAAATCACAAATGACATAATTGTTTATGTTAACGAATGAAAACCTGCAAATGACATAAAATGCACAAATTCTGTTTTTATATCTAATTAGAGAGCATGTAAATACCGCAAGCCTGGAATTATTCGTTTTTCAAATAAAGAAATATAATTAGCCGTGTTGACGTTAACAATTACAACAAGTTCGCGTAAGCTAAAACAAGAATCGTGTTTTAAATGTAAATCGTGTCAATTACTGAACGTGTCATATTTATATCGGTAGAAAATTAATTTTGACAACTTTGCATCCCATCCGAATAAATTATTTCGGGGCAGTTAAGTATATTTAGCTGATTTGGAT